AACAATCTGCTTGACTTGGTTCTTGCCAACAAAGATTCACTAATTAATAATCTTGAGGTTAATGATGAGCTTGGGGAAAGTGATCACAAATCACTTAGTTTCAATATATCATGGAATCACCCAGATAACTGCAATCAAATCTCTGTCCCGATTTTCGCTTGGCCTACTTCATGGGATTGAAAAATTACCTGGGTGGGCTAAATTGGGATGTCCTGACTATGGGTCAGGTAGGTGATCTTGGTTGCCAATATGACGTTTTTCAGAGCATAGTTCTATCTGCCCAGACAACTTTTATTCCGAGTAGGGAAATTAGATCTAACAAAAATGATCCCAAAAGGATGAACAATAGATTAAAACATCTCACTGGTCAAAAGATAGGCATATATAGGCGTATCAAAAGAGGGGATGGGCAGTTAAGAAATCAATATATTCAATTAAAGAGAGAAATAAAGAAATGAATAAGAAAAGCAAAAAGGGATTATGAGGCTAAGGTCGCAAGGGATTCAAAAACTAACCCAAAAGGGTTCTTTCAGGTATACAGAAGTAAGATCAGGGACAAGATAGGCTCACTTAAGAGTAACTCTGGTCAGATCACTGACAGTGATAAGGATATGTGTGAAATTCTCAATACCTACTTCCTCTCAGTTTTCACCCAGGAAAATACTAGCGATATTCCTGAAATAATAGATTATGTAAAACAGGACGATAATAAACTCTGCACGATTGCAGTAACTAGTGACATGGTCCTCAGACAAATAGAGAAACTAAATCCCCAGGCCCTGATGAACTGTTTGCAAGGGTGTTAAAGGAACTTAAAGAGGAACTTAGCATACCTTTGGCTAATCTTTTTAACATATCACTACAAACTGGCATAGTGCCTGATAAGTGGAAAATGGCAAATGTAATACCTATTTACAAGGCAGGTGACAGGTCCTTGGTTTCGAACTATAGACCAATAAGCCTTACCTCCATAGTGGGAAAATTTATGGAATCAATAATTGCCGAAGCAATTCATAGCCATCTTGATAGGCACAGATTGATTAATGAATCTCAACACGGTTTTACAAAGGTGCGTTCCTGTCTTACGAATTTACTAACTTTTTTCACTAAAGTGTTTGAGGAGGTAGATCATGGTAATGAATATGATATTGTGTATATGGACTTCAGTAAAGCTTTCGATAGGGTTCCACATCAGAGGCTATTGAGGAAACTTAAGGCACACGGAATAGGAAGAGAATTTTTTTCCTGGGTAGAGGCATGGCTGACAAATAGGCAGCAGAGAGTTGCATAAATGGGGAGAAATCAAAATGGGGGCACGTCACAAGCGGTACTCCACAGGGGTCAGTGTTGGGCCCATTGTTGTTCACAATTTACATAAATGACATAGATGAGGGAATAAATAGTGACATAAGCAAATTTGCTGATGACACCAAAATAGGCCGTCCAATTCATTCTAATGAGGACACTAGAGCACTCCAGGATGATTTGAATAGACTGATGCAATGGTCGGAGAAGTGGCAGATGCAGTTTAATATAGACAAATGCAAAGTGCTAAATGTTGGACAGGACAATAACCATGCCACATATAAACTAAATAATGTAGATCTTAATACTACTGATTGCGAAAAGGATTTAGGAGTTCTGGTTAGCAGTAATCTAAAACCAAGACAACAGTGCATTAGCTCTGGTCACCATATTACAGAATGGATATAAATGCTCTGGAAAACGTACAGAGGAGGATGACAAAGATGATCCCATGTATCAGAAATCTTCCCTATGAGGACAGACTGAGGGCCCTGAATCTGCACTCTCTAGAAAGGCGTAGAATTAGGGGGGATATGATCGAGGTGTATAAATGGAAAACGGGAATAAATAAAGGAGATGTAAATAGCGTGCTGAAAATTTCCAGCCAAGACAGGACTCGCAGCAATGGTTTCAAGTTGGAAAAATTCAGATTCAGGAAGGATATAGGAAAGCACTGGTTTGGTAATACAGTTGTGGATGAGTGGAACAAACTCCCGAGTACAGTTATTAAGGCTAAAACGTTGTGTAGTTTTAAAAATAGGTTAGATAAATACATGAGTGGGTGTGGGTGGGTGTGAGTCGGACCTGACTAGCTTGTGCTGCTGGGTCTGGTGCCTTGCTCTTTCCTTGAGTGGTGGCGGCCAGACTGGGTGGGTCATTGGGCTAATCCGGGAGGGGAGGGGAAATGGACCTGCTCCGCATGGGTCAGTAGGCCTGCTGCAGTGTTCCTTCTTATGTTCTTATGTGTACAGGTAACAATATTATCAATAACAATATGCATAGTTGGCAACACCATACATAACAATGTGTATAGTTGGTAGCACCATCCATAACAATGATATAGTTGGCTCTGGTGGTCCGGTGGCTAAAGCTCTCGATTCACACAGCAAGGGTCCGGGTTCGATTCCCAGCCAGAGTAGAAACATTGGGCGTGTTTCTTTACACCTGTTGTCTATGTTCACTCATCTGTCAAATGGGTACCTGGGTGTTAGTCGACTGGTGTGGGTTGGATCCTGGGTCACTGACCTAATGTGCGGGAAATGCTCAGCATAGCAAGGGACTTTCTATATAGTAGTATGTCACTGATGTCAGCTATGGTCTGTATACCTTGTACATGTACTGGTAGTAAATAAAGATATTATTATTTTTATTAACACCATCCATAACTGTATACAGGTGGCAGCACCATCCATAACTGTGTATAAGTGGCAGCACCATCCATAACTGTGTATAAGTGGCAGCACCATCCATAACTGTGTATAAGTGGCAGCACCATCCATAACTGTGTATAAGTGGCAGCACCATTCATAACTGTGTATAAGTGGCAGCACCATCCATAACAATTTGTATAATTGGCAGCACTATCAACAACATACAGATGGCCATCTACAACATACAGATGGCAGCACCATCAACATATACAGATGGCAGCACAATCAATATGTACAGATGGCAGCACCATCAACAACCACATGGCCACCGTGGCATAGTGGTCATGTGAAGCTCTCGCTTCACACGGCGAGCATCTGGGTTCGATTCTTAGCGAGGGTAGAAACAGTGGGCGTGTTTCTTTACACCGGTTGTCTATGTTCATCCATCAGTAAAACGGGTACCTGGGTGTTAGTTGACTGGTGTGGGTCGCCTCCTGGGACAAAACTGACCTAATTTGCCCGAAATGCCTCCCAGCACACATAAGGGGGATTACCAACAGACCCCTGGCAGTCTTCAAGCTGGCACTGGACAAGCACCTAAAGTCAGTTCCGGATCAGCCGGGCTGTGGCTCGTACGTTGGTTTGCGTGCAGCCAGCAGCAACAGCCTGGTTGATCAGGCTCTGATCCACCAGGAGGCCTGGTCACAGACCGGGCCGCGGGGGCGTTGACCCCCGGAACTCTCTCCAGGTAAACTCTCCAGGTAAATAACAAGGGGCTTTCTGTATAGTAGTTTGTCATATAAACACATATGCAGTATAATGTGATCCTTTATTGACAACGTTTCACCCACACAGTGGGCTTTTTCAAGTCACCATCGCATTCGCAACATCAACATCAGGAACAAGAAACTTTCCAGCCTTGACGTGACTTCCCTATTCACCAAAGTACCTACTACACAAGCCATCGATCTCTTGCGCTGGAAAATTGACGATTCACTTGATCTTCCCATTCCAGCCAGCGATTTCATCGACCTTGTTGAACTATGTGTTGGCTTTACGTGTTTCTCTTTCGAAAATCACCTCTTTCAGCAGACTTTTGGACTACCCATGGGTTCGCCACTCAGTGCGGTCCTGGCGAACCTATACATGGAACATCTAGAAGCCGAACGTTTCTCCACCATTATTCCTTCGTCTGTCACCTGGCTCCGTTATGTTGACGACATTCTCCTCATAACTCCTAAACGCTTCAACGTTCAAGCTCTCCAAGACAAGCTCAACCAGGTCGAGCCTTCAATCCAGTTCACACTTGAAGAAGAAGTCGACAACACTCTTCCTTTCCTTGATGTTCTGCTCTGCAAAGCTGACCACGAACTTCGTTTTAAAGTCTATCGAAAACCCACCAACCAAAACGATCTTCTCCACTTCTACTCTCACCACGACACCAAAACTAAACGTGGTGTAATTATAGGCTTCTTCCTGCGTGCACTCAGAATCTGCAGCAATGAGTTCCTTGAGGAAGAATGCACTATAATTGAACAAGTATTTTCTAAACTCCACTATCCTCGTCACTTCATCAGAGACTGCAGACAGCAGGCATTAAACATCTTTAACACACCCAGAGAAGACACTGCCGAGAAGAGATACATAGTCCTCCCCACCAACTCCATTGCCAAACATGTTTCCAACATCTTTTCCAATACATCATTCCAAGTATCTACCTCCACAACCACGACCATCAAGGACATCACCAGTAGTAGACAGGACAAGCTTCCATCCTCTGCAGGGGTATACATAATCCCTTGTAATGACTGCAACAAATTATATGTGGGCGAAACATCAAGAGACCTCCAAACACGTATTTCAGAACACCAATATGCAAGCAGGACTGACGATACAAGGAATGCCTGTGTACAACATCGCAATTCACACAACCATTTAATTAACTACAGAAACTCAAGACTTATCGCCACAGAAGACAACACTCAATACCGAAGAATCCTGGAATCATCGCTTATTTCTATAACCAGCAATTTCAACCAGAACAACGCCTTCTATAACATAGCTGAACCACTCGCCAAGAAACTTCTTCATCGCTATCCCACATAAGAACATAGAACACTGCAGAAGGTCTACTCACAACTTGTCCAATACCCCTGCCAAGCTACCCAAGACTCTATAACTCCACCCGGTAGATCATCAGATGCAGCATTCTCCACCTGACCTCAACATTCTGAACATGACTATAAATACTCCCGTACCTTCCACCCCAGGTAGATCTGTGTGTGACTTGAAAAAGCCCACTGTGTGGGTGAAACGTTGTCAATAAAGGATCACATTATACTGCATATGTGTTTATATTTCCACTGTGTCGGTATTTGATACCATTTATTTCCATAGTAGTTTGTCATTGATGTCAGCTATGGTCTGTATACCTTGTACATGTACTTATAGAAATAAAGATATTATTATTATTATTGTTATTATTATTAAATATGGCAGGGCTGTTAGAGCCACTGTTGAGCTCTTGGATGTTCTACTTCATATCACCGTTGCGTGTTGGTTGTCGTGGTTCTTCAGTTGAGAAAATCTGGTAGCCATCAGTGGTGTCTGGAAGAGTGTTATCCACAGACTCTTGTGACTCCTGGCCTCCCCTCAGCATGTCTGAAATGGAGGTTCTCTGACACTCCTCAATCACCAGCCTCGCTCTCTCCTCTAGGTTCTCTTGCCGTCCCTCCCTCACTGGTGCTGCCTGCATCAACATCAAAAGTCACTTCAGTAGCTATACAAATCATTGCTTTCACTAATTATTAGTAATTCTACACATACACATACCCACACACACACACACACACACACACACACACACACACACACACACACTGCAAGAAGGTTTTTGGCACAACTCCACACAAGAGATTAGTGCAAAAGCTAGAGGATCCGGCAGGTATAACAGAAAAGGCACTGCAATGAATCAGAGAATACCTGACAGCAAGGCGGCAACGAGTCATGGTACATGACGAAGTGTCAGCCTGGGCGGCAGTGACGAGCAGGGTTCCACAGGGATCAGTCCTAGGACCGGTGCTACTTCTGGTATATGTGAATGACATGACGGAAGGGATAGACTCAGAAGTGTCCCTGTTTGCAGATGACGTGAAGCTAATGAGGAGAATTCAATCGGATGAGGATCAGGCAGGACTGCAAAGAGATCTGTACAGGCTGCATTATTATTATAATCAAAAAGAAGCGCTAAGCCACAAGGACTATACAGCGCTGTCGTACAGGCTGCAAGCCTGGTCCAGCATCTGGTTCCTAGAGTTTAACCCCACCAAGTGCAAAGTCATGAAGGCCGCAGAGTACAGGCTAGGGGAGCCAAAGACTGCAAACCTCACTCAAGGAAAAGGATCTTGGAGTGAGTATAATACCGAGCATATTTCCTGAGGTGCACATCAACCAAATAAATGCTGCAGCATATCCGATACATCAGTAAGGAATCGTTCAAGACTCTGTACACCGTGTACGTGAGACCCATATTGAAGTATGCAGCACCAGTCTGGAACCCACACCTGGTCAAGCACGTCAAGAAATTTGAGAAAGTGCAAAGGTCTACAAGACTAGTCCCGGAGTTAAGGGGTATGTCCTACGAGGAGACGTTAAGGGAAATCGACCTGACAACACTGGAGGACAGGAAGGACAGGAGGAACATGATAACGACATATAAAATACTCAGAGGAATTGACAAGGTGGATAGGGACAGGATGTTTCAGAGATGGAACACAGCAACAAGGAGTCACAACTGGAAGTTAAAGACTCATATGAGTCACAGGGATGTTAGGAAGTACTTCTTCAGCCACAGATTTGTCAGGAAGTGGAACAGTCTGGAGAGTGATGTAGTGGAGGCAGGATCCATATATAGCATAATTAAGAAGAGGTATGATAAAGCTCATGGAGGAGGAAGTGGACCTAGTAGCGACCAGCAAAGAGGCAGGACCAGGAGCTATGAATCGACCCATGCAATCACAATTAGGTGAATACACACACACACACTCGTTCAAACATACCACACACACACACACAAAAAAAAAAAAGAGGGGGGGGACGCCAAGTGTCTATCGACAAGTGCCTTTAACTAGCAACTGTAACTACTACTACTACTACAACTACTACTACTACTACTACTACTACAATTTTTAAGAAAAGAGATGTATATGAGACAAATGATTACATACTAGGCACAGTCAAGATTGGGTAATACAAGGTAGTAGGTGGGTTAATGTACAACATGCCACCACTAAACTGTTGGAGACCAAGACAACAATATGAAGACAACAACAAAGCAGTGGTTGACACCATAGTGGAAGCTGCAAGGAGCTCATGGGGCTAAACAAAAGTTACTTATCACCGATGATTTCAGTCAAAAAGAATCAGATTGGGAGAACTGGAACACATGGAGAACCAGGAATGTGAACGGTTAATGGAAGTGGTGCCCCTCAAGGAAGGCTCCTTGATGCTGGTGAGGGGCTCTTGATCTAGGGAACTGGATCTGCACTCCAGTTCCCTGAATCAAGCCTGAATACCTTCCACATCCCCCCCCCACAGGCGCTGTATAATCTTGCGGGTTTAGCGCTTCCCCCTTGATTATGATAATAATAATGGAAGTGGTTAGGAAAAGCTTCATGTGTCAGCATGTAAACGATACAACACGATAACGAGATGAGCCAGCACGGCTCGATCTAGTATTCACAAGTGCATCAGACATAGGTGAAAAAGAAACTGAGAGCTCCCTGAGTACTAAGTAAGTAAGTAAGTAAGTTTATTCAGGTATACACAATACAGTTACATAGAATTATCATACATAGCAGCATATGTGTAGAGAACCTGGGATAACCCAAAAAAGTCAGACAGAGTGACTTATTTCCATTGGGGACCTTTTACCTTATTATTATAATATAAAGGTTATAATATTTTCTTATTATTCTATAATGAAGATAACATCTTACTAGCGACCATGCAGTACTGAACTTCGAAAATCTTGTAGAACTACACCCTGAGGAAAACATGGCAAGTGGAGGGGGTGAGAAACAAGGGTATAGAAGTGTGAACTTTGAAGAGATGAGAGATAACATCAACACAGATCAGCGGGAAAGGGATCTGGAATGAAAGTTGTTAAATAAAGTGATGAAATACGTAACTGGATATTGCCAGAAAACAAGAAAGAACCTTATATCTAGAGGAAGAACCGGATATGGCAAAGAAAAGCACAAGACCATGGAAAAACATTTGAGAGTGAAGGACAGATGAAAACATAGAAGTGAGCAACAGAGTGAAAAAAAATATAGAAAGGCGAGGAGAAGCTCCATGACAGCTTGAGAGTGACACAGCAGCAAAAGCCAAGTATGAGTCGTAGCTAGGATACAGCCACGTAAGTAAGACGGTGGTAAAGGACCAGGTAATCCAACAGAGGAATGAAGGAGAGCATAAAAGAAACGATAAGAAATTCTACGAGGTAAACAAATAATTAAAAGATGTGTTCTCAGAGAGAGCAGGAGCAATACCAGGGAAACAGCATACATGGGCGGTACTAACACCATACTGTTACATAATGAACTTACATCATCTCTGTCATATTATACTGTACAATCAGCTACAAGTGGTGGTACCTACTTACCAGAGAGTCATCAGGTGGAGGGTTCATGAGAGTGAAGGGTACCTCAGCTACCAGTTCACCAGCCAGGGTACCCATAACAAGCTTCACTCTTACCACATAAGACACCACGATACCGAAGTGTTGCCCGCCCCCAGGATGCGTGAACCTGATATACCCACTCTTTGTATAATTATTATTATTATTATTATTATTATTATTATTATTATTATTATTGCAATTTTTTATTGTCATTATTCCAAGATAAAATTAACAAAAATAATGTGCTTATGACTCACAGGGTAGACTATGAGTAGACTCAAAGTAACTAGTGAGGTAACTCAGAAAGTAACTGTGGTACTCAAAAGTGACTAGGAGTAGACTCAGAAGTAGACTAGTGGGGTAGATCAAAAGTAGACTAGTGAGGTAGACTCAGAAAGTAGACTAGTGAGGTAGACTCAGAAAGTAGACTAGTGAGGTAGACTCACAGGGTAGACTAGTGAGGTAGACTCAGAAAGTAGACTAGTGAGGTAGACTCAGAAAGTAGACTAGTGAGGTAGACTCAGAAAGTAGACTAGTGAGGTAGACTCAGAAAGTAGACTAGTGAGGTAGACTCACAGGGTAGACTAGTGAGGTAGACTCAGAAAGTAGACTAGTGAGGTAGACTCAGAAAGTAGACTAGTGAGGTAGACTCAGAAAGTAGACTAGTGAGGTAGACTCAGAAAGTAGACTAGTGAGGTAGACTCAGAAAGTAGACTAGTGAGGTAGACTCAGAAAGTAGACTAGTGAGGTAGACTCAGAAAGTAGACTAGTGAGGTAGACTCAGAAAGTAGACTAGTGAGGTAGACTCAGAAAGTAGACTAGTGAGGTAGACTCAGAAAGTAGACTAGTGAGGTAGACTCAGAAAGTAGACTAGTGAGGTAGACTCAGAAAGTAGACTAGTGAGGTAGACTCACGGGTGACTAGTGAGGTAGACTCAGAAAGTAGACTAGTGAGGTAGACTCAGAAAGTAGACTAGTGAGGTAGACTCAGAAAGTAGACTAGTGAGGTAGACTCAGAAAGTAGACTAGTGAGGTAGACTCAGAAAGTAGACTAGTGAGGTAGACTCAGAAAGTAGACTAGTGAGGTAGACTCAGAAAGTAGACTAGTGAGGTAGACTCAGAAAGTAGACTAGTGAGGTAGACTCAGAAAGTAGACTAGTGAGGTAGACTCAGAAAGTAGACTAGTGAGGTAGACTCAGAAAGTAGACTAGTGAGGTAGACTCAGAAAGTAGACTAGTGAGGTAGACTCAGAAAGTAGACTAGTGAGGTAGACTCAGAAAGTAGACTAGTGAGGTAGACTCAGAAAGTAGACTAGTGAGGTAGACTCAGAAAGTAGACTAGTGAGGTAGACTCAGAAAGTAGACTAGTGAGGTAGACTCAGAAAGTAGACTAGTGAGGTAGACTCAGAAAGTAGACTAGTGAGGTAGACTCAGAAAGTAGACTAGTGAGGTAGACTCAGAAAGTAGACTAGTGAGGTAGACTCACAGGGTAGACTAGTGAGGTAGACTCACAGGGTAGACTAGTGAGGTAGACTCAGAAAGTAGACTAGTGAGGTAGACTCACAGGTTAGACTAGTGAGGTAGACTCACAGGGTAGACTAGTGAGGTAGACTCACAGGGTAGACTAGTGAGGTAGACTCACAGGGTAGACTAGTGAGGTAGACTCAGAAAGTTGACTAGTGAGGTAGACTCACAGGGTAGACTAGTGAGGTAGACTCACAGGGTAGACTAGTGAGGTAGACTCACAGGGTAGACTAGTGAGGTAGACTCACAGGGTAGACTAGTGAGGTAGACTCAGAAAGTAGACTAGTGAGGTAGACTCACAGGGTAGACTAGTGAGGTAGACTCACAGGGTAGACTAGTGAGGTAGACTCAGAAAGTAGACTAGTGAGGTAGACTCACAGGGTAGACTCACAGGGTAGACTCACAAGGTAGACTAGTGAGGTAGACTCAGAAAGTAGACTAGTGAGGTAGACTCACAGGGTAGACTAGTGAGGTAGACTCACAGGGTAGACTAGTGAGGTAGACTCACAGGGTAGACTAGTGAGGTAGACTCACAGGGTAGACTAGTGAGGTAGACTCACAGGGTAGACCAGTGAGGTAGACTTACAGGGTAGACTAGTGAGGTAGACTCACAGGGTAGACTAGTGAGGTAGACTCACAGGGTAGACTAGTGAGGTAGACTCACAGGGTAGACTAGTGAGGTAGACTCACAGGGTAGACCAGTGAGGTAGACTCAGAAAGTAAACTAGCGAGGTAGACTCACAGGGTAGACTAGTGAGGTAGACTCACAGGATAGACTAGTGGGGTAGACTCACAGGGTAGACTAGTGAGGTAGACTCACAGGGTAGGCTAGTGAGGTAGACTCACAGGGTAGACTAATGAGGTAGACTCAGAGGGTAGACTATTGAGTAGACCCACAGGGTAGACTAGTGAGGTAGACTCACAGGATAGGCTAGTGAGGTAGACTCACAGGGTGGACTCAGATGATAGACTCATAGGGTAGCCTCACAGGGTAGACTCATAGGGTAGACTTAATGGGTAGACTCACAGGGTAGACTCAGAGAGTAGACTAGTGAGGTAGACTCACAGGGTAGACTTAATAGGGTAGACTCACAGGGTGGATGAAGCAAGGCTAGTCTCCTCAACCTTCAGTTGACCTTCGAGTGCCAGACCCCGACGCTGGTGTTTACCCTGGGGGTGTAGACACAGGTGGTAGGTCCTCCCCAGCGAAAACCCGGGTACCACTGGGCACCCTTCCCTGGAGGAGACCAGTGGTTAGTACTACCCTCCCTGGGGAGATTAGTGGTTAGTACTACCTTCCCTGGGGAAGTTTAGTGCTAAGTACTACCTTCCCTGGGGGAGACTTGTGCTTAGTACTACCTTCCCTGGAGGAGACTAGTGGTTAGTATTACCCTCCCGGGGGAAACTAGTGGTTAGTACTACCCTCCCTGGAGGTGACTAGTGGTTAGTACTACCCTCCCTGGAGGAGACTAGTGGTTAGTACTACCCTCCCTGGAGGTGACTAGTGGTTAGTACTACCCTCCCCGGAGGAGACTAGTGGTTAGTATTACCCTCCCGGGGGAAACTAGTGGTTAGTACTACCCTCCCTGGAGGTGACTAGTGGTTAGTACTACCCTCCCTGGAGGAGACTAGTGGTTAGTACTACCCTCCCTGGAGGTGACTAGTGGTTAGTACTACCCTCCCTGGAGGAGACTAGTGGTTAGTATTACCCTCCCGGGGGAAACTAGTGGTTAGTACTACCCTCCCTGGAGGTGACTAATGGTTAGTACTACCCTCCCTGGAGGAGACTAGTGGTTAGTACTACCCTCCCTGGAGGTGACTAGTGGTTAGTACTACCCTCCCCGGAGGAGACTAGTGGTTAGTACTATCCTCCCTGGAGGAGACTAGTGGTTAGTACTACCCTCCCTGGAGGTGACTAGTGGTTAGTACTACCCTCCCTAGAGGTGAATAATGGTTAGTACTACCCTCCCTGGAGGAGACTAGTGGTTAGTACTACCCTCCCTGGAGGAGACTAGTGGTTAGTACTACCCTCCCTGGAGGAGACTAGTGGCTAGTACTACCCTCCCTGGAGGAGACTAGTGGTTAGTACTACCCTCCCTGGAGGAGACTAGTGGTTAGTACTACCCTCCCTGGAGGAGACTAGTGGTTAGTACTACCCTCCCTGGGGGACTAGTGGCTAGTACTACCCTCCCTGGAGGAGACTAGTGGTAGTACTACCCTCCCTGGAGGGACTAGTGGTTAGTACTACCCTCCCTGGAGGAGACTAGTGGTAGTACTACCCTCCCTGGAGGGACTAGTGGTTAGTACTACCCTCCCTGGAGGAGACTAGTGGTTAGTACTACCCTCCCTGGTGGTGACTAGTGGTTAGTACTACCCTCCCTGGAGGAGACTAGTGGTTAGTACTACCCCCCCTGGAGGTGACTAGTGGTTAGTACTACCCTCCCTGGAGGAGACTAGTGGTTAGTACTACCCTCCCTGGAGGTGACTAGTGGTTAGTACTACCCTCCCTGGAGGAGACTAGTGGTTAGTACTACCCTCCCTGGTGGTGACTAGTGGTTAGTACTACCCTCATTGGAGGAGACTAGTGGTTAGTACTACCCTCCCTGGAGGTGACTAGTGGTTAGTACTACCCTCTCTGGAGGTGACTAGTGGTTAGTACTACCCTCCCTGGAGGAGACTAGTGGTTAGTACTACCCGCCCTGGTGGTGACTAGTGGTTAGTGCTACCCTCCCTGGTGGTGACTAGGTTAGTACTACCTTCCCTGGTGGTGACTAGTGGTTAGTACTACCTTCCCTGGTGGTGACTAGTGGTTAGTACTACCCTCCCTGGTGGTGACTAGTGGTTAGTACTAACCTCCTTAGTGGTGACTAGTGGTTAGTACTACCCCCCTGGTGGTGACTAGTGCTTAGTACTACCCTCCCTGGAGGAGACTAGTGGTTAGTACTACCCTCCCTGGTGGTGACTAGTGCTTAGTACTACCCTCCCTGGAGGAGACTAGTGGTTAGTACTACCCTCCCTGGTGGTGACTAGTGCTTAGTACTACCCTCCCTGGAGGAGACTAGTGGTTAGTACTACCCTCCCTGGAGGAGACTAGTGCTTAGTACTACCCTCCCTGGAGGAGACTAGTGGTTAGTACTACCCTCCCTGGTAGTGACTAGTGTTGTAACCCCCCTGAGGAGACTAGTGCTTAGTACTACTCCTGGGGAGCAAATGGTTAGTATACCCTCCCTGTGGTACTAGTGCTTAGTAACCCTGAGGAGAAATTGCTTAGTATACCCTCCCTAGGAGATGTGGTGTACTACCTCCTCCGTAAGCCATGCGGTTGTAAGGGCGACTAAAATGCCGGGCAAGGGCCATAACCTCTTCCTGTATTCAGTAAGGAGAAACTTCGTTTCCTTGTGGGCCACCCTCCTCGGTGGGCCACCCTGCCTCGGTGGGCCCTGCTCGGTGGGCCACCCTGCCTCGGTGGGCCACCCTGCCTCGGTGGGCCACCCTGCCTCGGTGGGCCACCCTGCCTCGGTGGGCCACCCTGCCTCGGTGGGCCACCCTGCCTCGGTGGGCCACCTGCCTCGTGGGCCACCCTGCCTCGGGGGCCACCTGCTCGGTGGCCACCCTGCCTCGGTGGGATGCGGCCGGTGTGTTGAAAGAAAATATATATATATATATATATATATATATTATATATATAATATATATATATATATATATATATATATATATATATATATGTCGTGCCGAATAGGCAGAACTTGCGATCTTGGCTTAAATAGCAACGCTCATCTTGCCATATAGGACAAGTGAAAATTTGTGTATGCAATAATTTCGCCAAAATCATTCTGAACCTAACGAAAAAAATATATTTCAATGTGTTTGTTTAGTATTAAATTACTGTAAACAAATCTAAAATATATTTAGTTGGGTTAGGCTAAAATAAATTTTTCTTGTTATAATAAGGTTAGATAAGTTTTCTACCTGGAGTTTACCTGGAGAGAGTTTCGGGGGTCAACGCCCCCGCGGCCCGGTCTGTGACCAGGCCTCCTGGTGGATCAGCGCCTGATCAACCAGGCTGTTGCTGCTGGCTGCACGCAAACCAACGTACGAGCCACAGCCCGGCTGATCAGGAACTGACTTTAGGTGCTTGTCCAGTGCCAGCTTGAAGACTGCCAGGGGTCTGTTGGTAATCCCCCTTATGTGTGCTGGGAGGCAGTTGAACAGTCTCGGGCCCCTGACACTTATTGTATGGTCTCTTAACGTGCTAGTGACACCCCTGCTTTTCATTGGGGGGATGGTGCATCGTCTGCCAAGTCTTTTGCTTTGGTAGTGAGTTATTTTCGTGTGCAAGTTCGGTACTAGTCCCTCTAGGATTTTCCAGGTGTATATAATCATGTATCTCTCCCTCCTGCGTTCTAGGGAATACAGGTTTAGAAACCTCAAGCACTCCCAGTAATTGAGGTGTTTTATCTCCGTTATGCGCGCCGTGAAAGTTCTCTGTACATTTTCTAGGTCGGCAATTTCACCTGCCTTGAAAGGTGCTGTTAGAGTGCAGCAATATTCCAGCCTAGATAGAACAAGTGACCTGAAGAGTGTCATCATGGGCTTGGCCTCCCTAGTTTTGAAGGTTCTCATTATCCATCCTGTCATTTTTCTAGCAGATGCGATTGATACAATGTTATGGTCCTTGAAGGTGAGATCCTCCGACATAATCACTCCCAGGTCTTTGACGTTGGTGTTTCGCTCTATTTTGTGGCCAGAATTTGTTTTGTACTCTGATAAAGATTTAATTTCCTCATGTTTACCATATCTGAGTAATTGAAATTTCTCATCGTTGAACTTCATATTGTTTTCTGCAGCCCACTGAAAGATTTGGTTGATGTCCGCCTGGAGCCTTGCAGTGTCTGCAATGGAAGACACTGTCATGCAGATTCGGGTGTCATCTGCAAAGGAAGACACGGTGCTGTGGCTGACATCCTTGTCTATGTCGGATATGAGGATGAGGAACAAGATGGGAGCTAGTACTGTGCCCTGTGGAACAGAGCTTTTCACCGTAGCTGCCTCGGACTTTACTCTGCTGACGACTACTCTCTGTGTTCTGTTAGTGAGGAAATTATAGATCCATCGACCGACTTTTCCTGGTTATTCCTTTAGTGCGCATTTTGTGCGCTATTACGCCATGGTCACACTTGTCGAAGGCTTTTGCAAAGTCTGTATATATTACATCTGCATTCTTTTTGTCTTCTAGTGCATTTAGGACCTTGTCGTAGTGATCCAGTAGTTGAGACAGACAGGAGCGACCTGTTCTAAACCCATGTTGCCCTGGGTTGTGTAACTGATGGGTTTCTAGATGGGTGGTGATCTTGCTTCTTAGGACCCTTTCAAAGATTTTTATGATATGGATGTTAGTGCTATTGGTCTGTAGTTCTTTGCTGTTGCTTTACTGCCCCCTTTGTGGAGTGGGGCTATGTCTGTTGTTTTTAGTAACTGAGGGACGACCCCCGTGTCCATGCTTCCCCTCTCCATAGGATGGAAAAGGCTCGTGATAGGGGCTTCTTGCAGTTCTTGATGAACACAAGAGTTCCATGAGTCTGGCCCTGGGGCAGAGTGCATGGGCATGTCATTTATCGCCTGTTCGAAGTCATTTGGCGTCAGGATAACATCGGATAGGCTTGTGTTAATCAAATTTTGTGGCTCTCTCATAAAAAATTCATTTTGATCTTCGACTCTCAGTCTGGTTGCGGCTTGCTAAAAAACTGAGTCATATTGGGACTTGAGTAGCTCACTCATTTCCTTGATGTCATCTGTGTAGGACCCATCTTGTTTAAGTAGGGGCCCAATACTGGACGTTGTTCTCGATTTTGATTTGGCATAGGAGAAGAAATACTTTGGGTTTCTTTCGATTTCATTTATGGCTTTTAGTTCTTCCCGCGATTCCTGACTCCTAAAGGATTCTTTTAGCTTAAGTTCGATGCTTGCTATTTCTCTGACCAGTGTCTCCCTGCGCATTTCAGATATATTGACCTCTTTTAGCCGCTCTGTTATTCTTTTCCGTCGCCTGTAAAGGGAGCGCCTGTCTCTTTCTATTTTACATCTACTCCTCCTTTTTCTTAGAGGAATAAGCCTTGTGCATACATCGAGTGCCACCGAGTTAATCTGTTCTAGGCATAAGTTTGGGTCTGTGTTGCTTAGTATATCTTCCCAACTTATATCGGTTAGGACTTGGTTTACTTGGTCCCACTTTATGTTTTTGTTATTGAAGTTGAATTTGGTGAATGCTCCTCGTGACTAGTCTCATTTTGTCGGTCTGGGCTCCGCATACATGTCTGAACCTCAATTATGTTGTGATCTGAGTATATTGTTTTTGATATTGTGACATTTCTTATCAGATCATCATTGTTAGTGAAGATGAGGTCTAGTGTATTCTCCAGTCTAGTAGGCTCTATTATTTGCTGGTTTAAATTGAATTTTGTGCAGAGATTTAAAAGCTCGTGTGAGTGTGAGTTTTCATCAGAGCTGCCTCCTGGTGTTATTACTGCAACAATATTATTTGCTATATTCCTCCATTTTAGGTGCCTTAGTTGAATATCCCCCAGGAGCAAGATGTTGGGTGCAGGAGCTGGAAGATTTTCCAGACAGTGGTCAATTTTTAACAGCTGTTCCTGGTAATTGCTGGGATGTTGCATCCGGAGGCTTGTAGACTACCACAATGACTAGGTTTTGGTTCTCGACCTTTACTGCTAAAACTTCCACTACGTCATTTGAGGCATTAAGCAGTTCTGTGCAAACAAGTGACTCTGCAATGTACAGGCCAACCCATCCCTTTGCCTGTTCACTCTGTCACATCTGTATAGGTTGTAACCTGGGATCCATATTTCGTTGTCCAAGTGATCCTTTTGTGGGTCTCAGTGAAAGCCACGAACATTGCCTTTGGCCTCTGCAAGCAGTCCACGGATGAAAGGTATTTTGTTGTTTGTTGCTGGCTTTAGACCCTGTATATTTGCAAAGAAGAATGTTATCGGACTGGTGGTATTGTTGGTATCTGGGGGGGGATTTTTTTTCCGGCATTAGTATCTGTATCTGTTGGTTTGGAGTGGAGCCATCGACTGTGGTTCCACTCCAGGAATGACTGGGATTTGGTGTACGATTTCTGCCATTTCCTGCCAGTTTTTTTTCCTTCCTGGCACTAAAAAACCTCTCCCTCTTGAGTGGCTGTGGCTACCCAGGTTTTCCCATGGCCTGGATGTTTTGTATCTTTTTGTCCCCTTTAGATGGTATGCCTGGCAATTTAAGTTATAGCACAGTCTTTCCTGTACTGAAGAGGTACACATTTCAGGGTGAAAAAGCTTACAGGAAGGGAGTTTGCATTTTCCTGTTGTCATATGGGCATGGCATTTTCTAGGGTGGTCATAGTTGCATGTCCCATCTGTTTTTCCAGATTTCCCATGCCAGCAGATACCAAGTGCATTAGTATGTGCACAGGCTTGGTTCCGCTTGCCTTGGGTTTCTGTGACTGTATTCCCTGTTGGTGCATGTTTCCCTGTCTTACTTCTATCCTCCCTAGCACCAACAATGGAGCTCCCACCAGTTGTTTTTGGTAATTTATCCTCACTATTGCTATTGGAGTCCTCTTGTTTGCTATTTCCTGCGGTATTTCTAGTTTGCAATATTGGTTTTTATCTTATCTTTGACTACACTTGTTTCCCTACTATGGCTCCTGTCCCTATGAGGTCATTTATATGTATTCCTTCCTGCGTATAATTCCCGACTACCTGGACAAAATCTCCAGCCTTCACCATTACTGTCTCCCAGGACAGTATCTCCAGCTCACCATTTCTGTCTCCCAGGACAGCACCTTCCAGCTTCACATTACTGTCTCCCAGACAGTATCTCCAGCTTCACCATTACTGTCTCCCAGGACAGCACTATCAGCCCACATTTACTGACTACCAGGACATCACCTCCAGCCTTACAGTTTGTGACTACATGGCAGTATCAAGGGCAGTACCATTCAGCCCAGACTTTTTATGTTCCCATCTGTTGTAAAAGCTTCCAGGTTTTCTATGAAAGCAGCTTTGATGTTATCCTCTTTTAATACCCTTGTGATTTTAGTCCACAGATTTTTCCTCATTTGGGCATACCAAAAACACTTCTCTGTTTTAATACTGCTTGTAGCTAGTTCTGGGATATCTGCACAAGGGGCGTGACACCAATTTCCACAAAAATGACAATTTATCCATGTGGAAGCCCGTTTGTTTGACTGACCACAGACTACACACAGCTTCATAATGATTTAAATGGTTGATTTACTGCAATTCTACTAGCAACCTCTTGAATATTATATTAATAACCTTAAATGAAGCTCTAGCTATTTGTATTTCTGTTTCTAACTCTTGTATATTGGACAGCTTACCGTCACGTTCCTGATTTTTAATGTTTGTGTTTATAAGGGCGCCTACAACCCCATCCGTTTACAGTCTGCTTTATTGTCCAACGAAACTGTTTGAAACCAGTCCCGGGTTCGGCACAGTCAAGGGTCGGACCAGTCGATCTGCTCTGATCAGTGGGTCACTTATTTAAAACATACTGGTCGGTGGTTTGAGCTAACACATGAAGGATCTACTGGAAATTATCTACCCGAGTAATATGTGATTTGACTGATACAAAAGTATAACTTGCGTGTTGAAGAGCCGGTGATATCTGGCAGCTCCTACAATGACGAACGGTCGACCTCCTTGTTTATCAATCGCTGTATCTAGCTTTTCTATTTTTTTTTTCCTTCTCCACCACAATAAATGCTATATTATCACTATAGTTGACTGGTGCAAATTTTGGAGGAAGGACGCTTTTTCTGTAGTAATAATTGCTTCTCGTTGTGTATATTGCGACCGCTGGTAACTACAGGTTATATGAAATTCACAGTAACGTCTCGTATTTCAAGAAAAAGAAACTAATGAAAGTCACTCCACTCCACTAAGTACCATTATAATACTGGTTAGTTGCTACTACAACGCTGTATTCTGCTATTCACTGGTATCACTAGATTATATGCGAGTACACTAGCAAGCCAGGAAGATTATTAAAACAGCTGACCTGTGGTAAGTTTCTGGCGACTTCTGGCACCTGCCTCTATAGGCTTATCACTTCATTTACAAATTCACCTTTTTCAATGACCTTTAGCCTTTATCATCAATATCTAGGGAGCCACTGTAGTATACACTATACACTTGTTACTCAATGTTATCAGGGAGGACTTTCTTTCCTCTGACACGAAAAGTTCAATTATTATTATTTTTTCCACACGGGACACAGGCCTATGATTCCCCTCTGGCAGTAAACTCTGCTAGGTAGTCACACTAATTCTCCTTTTTTGACTCAGTATATAATGTTTTCCGCCCAAGATTGGTTCCAGGCGCTAGAGGGATGTATCGTATAGGATTGATGACACAAATTAAAGTTCTAGCACGTAAGAGCGACCGTGAAAACACGAGATAACCCGGAGCACAACGAGGCACGCACCAGGAGGAAAATTAAAAATTTTTACATTAAAATTAATGAAAAAATATATTTTTAAACGTATAAGAGAAAAGTTTAGAAAGGACTTAATTTTAAATGAGTTCTTGCTAATTGACCAGTTTTATATATTCGGCACGACATATATATATATATATATTATATATATTTATATATATATATATATATTATTATATATATATATATATATAATATATTATATATATATATACACACACACACACACAGTGGAACCCCGGTTTTCGTCCTTAATCCATTCCAGAAGGTCGGTTGAAATCAGAAATGGATGAAAACCGAAGTAATATTTCACATAAGAAATAATATAAATCCAATTAACTCTTTCCAGATACCCAAAAATATTAACTAAAAGCACATGTTATAGAGAATATCTATAGTTTTACATACAGAAAACAATGAGAAATAAATGACTAATTTTAATGGATAATGAACATTTAAATTACTATTACATACCTGTATTGAAGTCTTGTTGGTATATGGAAAAAAAGCGATGAGGGGAGAGGGAGGAGAGGTTATTGTTTGAAAGGGGAATCCCCCTCCATGGAAATAAATGGTATAAAATAACGACACAATGGAAATATAAACACATATGCAGTATAATGTGATCCTTTATTGACAATGTTTCGCCCACACAGTGAGCTTTTTCGAGTCTCAAACAGATCTGCATAACAAGCGGGTTTCTAGTAGTGTTATTGATGTCGCTATGGTCTGTATACTATCAAATAGTAGTAGAGGTAGTAGTACTATTGTTGTTATATTAACACTACTCTCTGAACCCTTGTGTTATTACCACTACTCTCTTATTATTCCAACCTTTGCCAGTATTATACTACTTACTACTACCACAACCACTACTACTAATATTACTCAATACTACTACTACTACCACTGCGACTATTACTACTACTACTACCACAACCACTACTATTACTCAATACTACTGCTACCACTGCGACTATTACTACTACTACCACAACAACCACTACTACTAATATTACTCAATACTACTACTACCACTGCTACTATTGCTACTACTACCACCACCACTACTACTGTGACCAAGTAGCAAGTATTAACGCACAAACTGTGACCAAGTAACAAGGATTAACGCACAAACTGTGACCAAGTAGCAAGTATTAACGCACAAACTGACCAAGTAGCAAGGATTAACGCACAAACTGTGGCCAAGTAACAAGGATTAACGCACAAACTGTGACCAAGTAGCAAGTATTAACACACAAACTGTGACCAAGTAGCAAGTATTAACGCACAAACTGTGACCAAGTAGCAAGGATTAACGCACAAACTGTGACCAAGTAGCAAGTATTAACGCACAAACTGTGACCAAGTAGCAAGGATTAACGCACAAACTGTGACCAAGTAGCAAGTATTAACGCACAAACTGTGACCAAGTAGCAAGGATTAACGCACAAACTGTGACCAAGTAGCAAGTATTAACGCACAAACTGTGACCAAGTAGCAAGGATTAACGCACAAACTGTGACCAAGTAGCAAGGATTAACGCACAAACTGTGACCAAGTAGCAAGTATTTACGCACAAACTGTGACCAAGTAGCAAGGATTAACGCACAAACTGTGACCAAGTAGCAAGTATTAACACACAAACTGTGACCAAGTAGCAACAACAAATGTACTAACTGTGACTGTATAGTAGCGATGGTGTTGCGTATATCTGCAGTGGTGCCCAGAGCTACATCACACACCTGCACCACACACACCTGCACCTTCTTCACCTGCTTGTTGCAGTTGTTGATCACGTTCACCTGAACGTTCACTGCCTCGCCGTGGTAGTAGATCTGAGGGACAAGTTCTATCAAGAGCTACATAGGGATTCCAACCGGGGTAGCATAATGTATACCTACTGATCTAGTGGTCTACAAGCTCAGTGCATGAACACAATCAGTGGATGAACACAATCAGTACATGAACACAATCAGTGCATGAACACAATCAGTGCATGAACACAATCAGTACATGAACACAATCAGTGGATGAACACAATCAGTACATGAACACAATCAGTGCATGAACACAATCAGTGCATGAACACAATCAGTGCATGAACACAATCAGTGCATGAACACAATCAGTACATGAACACAATCAGTGCATGAACACAATCAGTGCATGAACACAATCAGTACATGAACACAATCAGTGGATGAACACAATCAGTACATGAACACAATCAGTGCATGAACACAATCAGTGCATGAACACAATCAGTGCATGAACACAATCAGTACATGAACACAATCAGTGGATGAACACAATCAGTACATGAACACAATCAGTGCATGAACACAATCAGTGCATGAACACAATCAGTACATGAACACAATCAGTGGATGAACACAATCAGTACATGAACACAATCAGTACATGAACACAATCAGTGCATGAACACAATCAGTGCATGAACACAATCAGTACATGAACACAATCAGTACATGAACACAATCAGTGCATGAACACAATCAGTACATGAACGCAATCAGTACATGAACACAATCAGTGCGTGAACACAATCAGTGCATGAACACAATCAGTGCATGAACACAATCAGTGCATGAACACAATCAGTACATGAACACAATCAGTACATGAACACAATCAGTGCGTGAACACAATCAGTGCATGAACACAATCAGTGTATGAACACAATCAGTGCATGAACACAATCAGTGTATGAACACAATCAGTGCGTGAACACAATCAGTGCATGAACACAATCAGTGCATGAACACAATCAGTGCATGAACACAATCAATGCATGAACACAATCAGTACATGAACACAATCAGTACATGAACACAATCAGTACATGAACACAATCAGTGCGTGAACACAATCAGTGCATGAACACAGTGTATGAACACAATCAGTGTGTGAACACAATCAGTGTATAAACACAATCAGTGCGTGAACACAATCAGTGTATGAACACAATCAGTGCATGAACACAATCAGTGTATGAACACAATCAGTGCGTGAACACAATTAGTGTATGAACACAATCAGTGCATGAACACAATCAGTGTATGAACACAATCAGTGCATGAACACAATCAGTGCGTGAACACAATCAGTGCATGAACACAATCAGTACATGAACACAATCAGTGCGTGAACACAGTGCATGAACACAATCAGTGTATGAACACAATCAGTGCGTGAACACAATCAGTGTATGAACACAATCAGTGCATGAACACAATCAGTGTATGAACACAATCAGTGCATGAACACAATCAGTGCGTGAACACAATCAGTGCATGAACACAATCAGTGTATGAACACAATCAGTGCATGAACACAATCAGTGTATGAACACAATCAGTGCGTGAACACAGTGTATGAACACAATCAGTGCATGAACACAATCAGTGCATGAACACAATCAGTGCATGAACACAATCAGTGCATGAACACAATCAATGCATGAACACAATCAGTACATGAACACAATCAGTGCATGAACACAATCAGTGTATGAACACAATCAGTGCGTGAACACAATCAGTGCATGAACACAATCAGTGCATGAACACAATCAGTGCATGAACACAATGCATGAACACAATCAGTACATGAACACAATCAGTACATGAACACAATCAGTGCGTGAACACAATCAGTGCATGAACACAATCAGTGTATGAACACAATCAGTGTGTGAACACAATCAGTGTATGAACACAATCAGTGCGTGAACACAATCAGTGTATGAACACAATCAGTGCATGAACACAATCAGTGTATGAACACAATCAGTGCATGAACACAATCAGTGCGTGAACACAATCAGTGCATGAACACAATCAGTACATGAACACAATCAGTGCGTGAACACAATCAGTGCATGAACACAATCAGTGTATGAACACAATCAGTGCGTGAACACAATCAGTGTATGAACACAATCAGTGCATGAACACAATCAGTGTATGAACACAATCAGTGCATGAACACAATCAGTGCGTGAACACAATCAGTGCATGAACACAATCAGTGTATGAACACAATCAGTGCATGAACACAATCAGTGCATGAACACAATCATTGCATGAACACAATCAGTACATGAACACAATCAGTACATGAACACAATCAATGCATGAACACAATCAGTACATGAACACAATCAGTACATGAACACAATCAGTGCATGAACACAATCAATGCATGAACACAATCAGTACATGAACACAATCAGTGCATGAACACAATCAGTGCATGAACACAATCAGTGCATGAACACAATCAGTGCATGAACACAATCAGTGCATGAACACAATCAGTGCAATGAACACAATCAGTGCATGAACACATCAATGCATGAACACAATCAGTACATGAACACAATCAGTGCATGAACACAATCAGTGCATGAACACAATCAGTGCATGAACACAATCAGTGCATGAACACAATCAATGCATGAACACAATCAGTGCATGAACACAATCAGTGCATGAACACAATCAGTGCATGAACACAATCAATGCATGAACACAGTCAGTGCATGAACACAATCAGTGCATGAACACAATCAGTGCGTGAACACAATCAGTGCATGAACACAATCAGTACATGAACACAATCAGTGCGTGAACACAATCAGTGCATGAACACAATCAGTGCATGAACACAATCAGTGCATGAACACAATCAGTGCATGAACACAATCAGTGCATGAACACAATCAGTACATGAACACAATCACTGGATGAACACAATCAGTACATGAACACAATCAGTGCATGAACACAATCAGTACATGAACACAATCAGTGCATGAACACAATCAGTGCATGAACACAATCAGTACATGAACACAATCAGTACATGAACACAATCAGTACATGAACACAATCAGTACATGAACACAATCAATGCATGAACACAATCAGTACATGAACACAATCAATGCATGAACACAATCAGTACATGAACACAATCAGTACATGAACACAATCAGTACATGAACACAATCAGTACATGAACATAATCAGTGCATGAACACAATCAGTGCATGAACACAATCAGTACATGAACACAATCAGTACATGAACACAATCAATGAATGAACACAATCAGTACATGAACACAATCAGTACATGAACACAATCAGTACATGAACACAATCAGTACATGAACACAATCAGTGCATGAACACAATCAGTGCATGAACACAATCAGTACATGAACACAATCAGTACATGAACACAATCAGTACATGAACACAATCAATGCATGAACACAATCAGTACATGAACACAATCAATGCATGAACACAATCAGTACATGAACACAATCAGTACATGAACACAATCAGTGCATGAACACAATCAGTGCATGAACACAATCAGTACATGAACACAATCAATGCATGAACACAATCAGTACATGAACACAATCATTACATGAACACAATCAGTACATGAACACAATCAGTGCATGAACACAATCAGTGCATGAACACAATCAGTGCATGAACACAATCAGTGCATGAACACAATCAGTGCATGAACACAATCAGTGCATGAACACAATCAGTGCATGAACACAATCAGTGCATGAACACAATCAGTGCATGAACACAATCAGTATACTAGCACAGTACATAATTACAATCACTGGATGAGCACAATCAGTAGATAAAGACAATAAAAACCACAATTTCAGCATAACTCATAAAATATAACTTAAAATTTAGTTAAGAAAATTAAGTTAGAGCAAAGTTAGTAGGTTAGGTTAGGTTAGGTTAGGTTAGGTTAGGTTAAGTTAGGTTAGGTTAGGTTGGGTTAGATTTGTCAGGAAACAGTACAAGTGTTTCCTGACGCGGGTCTTAGTCATAAGATGACCCACAGCTGGAGCTTTTGGTCATCTGACCGAGGCCTTCCACTGGCTTACCCCTGTATGATTGTTATTATAACTATTAGATTCACTATCAACTAGTAACTGTGGTAAGATTATTGATGTGACTCTTAAATAACAGCTTATGAAAAATTGTGTAAATAATTTAGAAAACTGACAAGTTGATAAATGAGACAATTATGTAAAATTTGTTGTATCTTTATTCTGGAAACGTTTCGCCAGCCAGTGGCTTCTTCAGTCTAATACAGAGAAGAACGATGAAAGATGAGGAGGAGTTGGAAGTAATCAGTCAGTAGATGTGTTCAGTCCATCATTCTTGACTGATGGACTGAACACATCGACTCCAGGCTGAGGGACTGATTACCTCAAACTACTACTCATCTTCCAACGTTCTTCTCTGTACTGGACTGAAGAAGTCACTGGTTGGCGAAACGTTTCCAGAATAAAGATACCCAAATGTTGCACAAGTGTCTCATTTATCAGCCCTGAGAAATTTACACAGATGTTTTGGAAATTTTATTGACCAGCCTGTCGAGAATACAAGAGTGTTGAGACTCGCAGGTGGCTGGGAAATACTACTGACCAGCCTGTGGAGAATACAAGACTGTGGAGACTCGCAGGTGGCTGGGAAATACTACTGACCAGCCTGTCGAGAATACAAGAGTGTGGAGACTCGCAGGTGGCTGGGAAATACTACTGACCAGCCTGTCGAGAATACAAGAGTGTTGAGACTCGCAGGTGGCTGGAAATACTACTGACCAGCTGTGGAGAATACAAGACTGTGGAGACTCGCAGGTGGCTGGGAAATACTACTGACCAGCCTGTCGAGAATACAAGAGTGTGGAGACTCGCAGGTGGCTGGGAAATACTACTGACCAGCCTGTGGAGAATACAAGACTGTGGAGACTCGCAGGTGGCTGGGAAATACTACTGACCAGCCTGTCGAGAATACAAGAGTGTGGAGACTCGCAGGTGGCTGGGAAAATACTACTGACCAGCCTGTCGAGAATACAAGACTGTGGAGACTCGCAGGTGGCTGGGAAATACTACTGACCAGCCTGTCGAGAATACAAGAGTGTGGAGACTCGCAGGTGGCTGGGAAATACTACTGACCAGCCTGTCGAGAATACAAGACTGTGGAGACTCGCAGGTGGCTGGGAAATACTACTGACCAGCCTGTCGAGAATACAAGAGTGTTGAGACTCGCAGGTGGCTGGGAAATACTACTGACCAGCCTGTCGAGAATACAAGAGTGTGGAGACTCGCAGGTGGCTGGAAATACTACTGACCAGCCTGTCGAGAATACAAGAGTGTTGAGACTCGCAGGTGGCTGGGAAATACTACTGACCAGCCTGTCGAGAATACAGAGTGTTGAGACTCGCAGGTGGCTGGGAAATACTACTGACCAGCCTGTCGAGAATACAAGAGTGTTGAGACTCGCAGGTGGCTGGGAAATACTACTGACCAGCCTGTCGAGAATACAAGAGTGTTGAGACTCGCAGGTGGCTGGGAAATACTACTGACCAGCCTGTCGAGAATACAAGAGTGTTGAGACTCGCAGGTGGCTGGGAAATACTACGACCAGCCTGTCGGAGAATACAAGACTGTGGAGACTCGCAGGTGGCTGGGAAATACTACTGACCAGCCTGTCGAGAATACAAGAGTGTGGAGACTCGCAGGTGGCTGGGAAATACTACTGACCAGCCTGTCGAGAATACAAGAGTGTGGAGACTCGCAGGTGGCTGGAAATACTACTGACCAACCTGTGGAGAATACAAGAGTGTTGAGACTCGCAGGTGGCTGGGAATAACTACTGACCAGCCTGTCGAGAATACAAGATTGTGGAGACTCGCAGGTGGCTGGGAAATACTACTGACCAGCCTGTCGAGAATACAAGATTGTGGAGACTCGCAGGTGGCTGGGAAATACTACTGACCAGCCTGTCGAGAATACAAGAGTGTGGAGACTCGCAGGTGGCTGGGAAATATTACTGACCAGCCTGTCGAGAATACAAGAGTGTGGAGACTCGCAGGTGGCTGGGAAATACTACTGACCAGCCTGTCGAGAATACAAGAGTGTTGAGACTCGCAGGTGGCTGGGAAATACTAACTGACCAGCTGTCGAGAATACAAGAGTGTTGAGACTCGCAGGTGGCTGGGAAATACTACTGACCAGCTGTCGAGAATACAAGAGTGTGGAGACTCGCAGGTGGCTGGGAAAATACTAACTGACCAGCCTGTCGAGAATACAAGAGTTTGAAGACTCGCAGGTGGCTGGGAAATACTACTGACCAGCCTGTCGAGAATACAAGAGTGTTGAGACTCGCAGGTGGCTGGGAAATACTACTGACCTGCCTGTCAAGGATGACATTGAGGTGAAGTTTACCAGGAGAGAGAAGAAACTCTTTGGTACACGACACCATGGGCTGTCGACCTTGTTTTGCTGGAGCGTACTGCCGCCTCCTGTTTCAATTGACCAAAATTTGATAGTTACATAACGTGAATAAAATATGTTTCTCTGTCATATTCCATCACACAGGATAGTTGTCATGCATTAAATATGCTGTTTGTTAGCTTAAGATGGCAGATTTCAGAAGAGTAATGCCGTCAAACAATCCCATTGTAGGTTCAGTTGATACGACAGTGTTAAAGGATTCCTTCCAGCAGAGCTGCTGTTATTATTATTATTTTTATTATTATTATTATTATTATTATTATTATTATTATTATTATTATTATTATTATTATTATTATTGGGAATTACCATCTCTCAGGACACCTAAGCATGTAGGACAAATGGAGCAAGTATGGAGTAAGTGAATGTATGTAGATATATTGAAGCGGATGTGTCAGCAGATGTCTGTGAAAGATGAAGTGAAGTGTAGAAAATATGGAGGAAAAAGGTAAGTGGAGGTGTCTGTGCAGAAGTTTATTAACGGTGTAAACAAAAGAATGTAAGGCTGAGTGGGTAAGTTGTAAGAAGACCCACCTAAAGAGAGGATCCACCTGGCGAGAGGACCCACCCTATGAGAGGACCCACCCTATGAGAGGACCCACCCTATGAGAGGACCCACCTGACGAGAGGACCCACCTGACGAGAGGACCCAACTTATGAGAGGACCCACCTTATGAGAGGACCCACCTTATGAGAGGACCCACCTTATTAGAGGACCCACATGACGAGAGGACCCACCTTATGAGAGGACCCAACTTATTAGAGGACCCACCTTATGAGAGGACCCACCTTATGAGAGGACCCACCTGACGAGAGGACCCACGTAACGAGAGGACCCACCTTATGAGAGGACCCACCTTATGAGAGGACTCACCTTATGAGAGGACCCACCTTATGAGAAGACCCACCTGACGAGAGGACCCACGTGACGAGAGGACCCACCTTATGAGAGGACCCACCTTATGAGAGGACCCACCTGACGAGAGGACCCACCTTATGAGAGGACCCAACTTATGAGAGGACCCACCTTATGAGAAGACCCACCTAACGAGAGGACCCACCATATGAGAGGACCCACCTGACGAGAGGACCCACCTTATGAGAGGACCCACCTTATGAGAGGACTCACCTTATGAGAGGACCCACCTTATGAGAGGACCCACCTTATGAGAGGACCCACCTGACGAGAGGACCCACCTTATGAGAGGACCCAACTTATGAGAGGACCCACCTTATGAGAAGACCCACCTAACGAGAGGACCCACCTTATGAGAGGACCCACCTGACGAGAGGACCCACCTTATGAGAGGACTCACCTTATGAGAGGACCCACCTTATGAGAGGACCCACCTGACGAGAGGACCCACCTTATGAGAGGACCCACCTGACGAGAGGACCCACGTGACGAGAGGACCCACCTTATGAGAGGACCCACCTTATGAGAGGACCCACCTGACGAAGGACCCACCTTATGAGAGGACCCACCTGACGAGAGGAGCCACGTGACGAGAGGACCCACCTTATGAGAGGACCCACCTTATGAGAGGACCCACCTGACGAGAGGACCCACCTTATGAGAGGACCCACCTGACGAGAGGACCCACGTGACGAGAGGACCCACCTTATGAGAGGACCCACCTTATGAGAGGACCCACCTGACGAGAGGACCCACCTTATGAGAGGACCCACCTTATGAGAGGACCCACCTTATGAGAGGACCCACCTTATGAGAGGACCCACCTTATGAGAGGACCCACCTTATGAGAGGACCCACCTTATGAGAGGACCCACCTTATGAGAGGACCCACCTTATGAGAAGACCCACCTTATGAGAGGACCCACCTTATGAGAGGACTCACGTTATGAGAGGACCCACCTTATGAGAGGACCCACATGACGAGAGGACCCACCTTATGAGAGGACTCACCTTATGAGAGGACCCACCTTATGAGAGGACCCACCTGACGAGAGGACCCACGTGACGAGAGGACCCACCTTATGAGAGGACCCACCTTATGAAAGGACTCACCTTATGAGAGGACCCACCTTATGAGAGGACCCACCTTATGAGAGGACCCACCTTATGAGAGGGACCCACCTTATGAGAGGACCCACCTTATGAGAGGACCCACCTTATGAGAGGACCCACCTTATGAGAGGACCCACCTTATGAGAGGACCCACCTTATGAGAGGACCCACCTTATGAGAGGACCCACCTTATGAGAGGACTCACGTTATGAGAGGACCCACCTTATGAGAGGACCCACCTGACGAGGAGTCTGACACAGGAACGACGGTGAGGCTGCTCATCCTGGGTGCTGCCCACGAACACTCGTACCTGCCAGTGTACACCACACGCCCGCCCACTCTCCTCCTGGCCTGACGCACACATACATGACCTTAGTAAAGTATTACACACACACACACACACACACACACACACACACACACACACACACACACACGTTTCAGAGATGGGACACAACAACAAGGGGTCACAATTGGAAGTTGAAGACTCAGATGAGTCACAGGGATGTTAGGAAGTATTTCTTCAGTCACAGAGTGTTACAAAAAACGCGATTTCTAAAAAGCTTAGAGATCTCCAGGTAATACTAGAAAGGACTGCCCTTCTAACATCCAGCCTGTTACTGGGTTTTCGTAACAAGTAGTCAGTATCCTGGTCCAATTATCCATTAGAATTCAATAAGAATTCTTCGTGCTTCAGGATTACAACTGGTAGGCTACTAACTAGAGAAATTAAAATTTAATAAATTTATTAATAATTAAGTTGTCTAGACGTATATCAAATGAAAATAAATTAATCAATTTAAACAAATTAATAATAATCACTTCTCTCGTGTACAGTAGTATTGTGCTGAAAGCACATATCACATATTTATGTCTTAAGTACCGTCTGGTACATTAACATTTAATAAGATATTATAAATATGTACAAGTAAGTTTGTGTGTATGTGTGTAAGTGCTCTAAGTAGTTCGCTATGTCTCAAGACTCGACTCGACTTAAACAAGTGACTGACAAAGTCCTCAAATAAACTAACTTCTTGACCAACTGGCAATCAGAACAGTCTGCTTGAACAATAAAAAGAATGCTAAGCCCAATAGCAATATAACAAGCAACTGAGACACAGAATCAGGAACAAGGAGATAAAATAACGACACTAAGTAGGGACCATCAGCAGATCCTCCACAAAAGTCACAAAACTCCCATACTACTGAATCTAAGTTCAGCATAAGAAAATCCCTGACTGTGACAGTACACAGATACCAGTACAAGTTAGGTCAGAAGCTACAGCTCAGGACCTGAGTTGCTCAGAGTGTCTATGAGACACACAACCTCAGTACAACGTCGAAAATCTCTAAGTCTATATAATGTTCTGTGAACAGTTCTATAGAACCAACAAGGAAGCTACAGAGACTATCTTCCAATAAGGGAGAATTAGGCACGTCTTGTCAGGAATACGTCCAACCACCAAGAGAGTCTAGCCCAGACTGACTACTTCAGGCGAGGTGTGAACACCCCCCCCCTCGATCACGTGATAGCTACGTGGACAGCTGCTGCCCAGCAACACAGAAGCCGGCAGAGTAACGAGCCACAAGCAATAATTACAGTAGTTAGACAATCAAGACTTGAACTATGAGCACATAATAACAATATATGAATGTTACATCCTACCTAACAATATAACTAAGTCAAATAATAATATAAAGCAATATATTTACGATTTAGCTATTATCGCAAATATAAGCAATATAAAATTATACAAAAAGGTAATATACATTATATACATTGTGACCCATTCAGGGGTCACAACACAGAGCTGTCAGGAAGTGGAATAGTCTCGAAAGAGAAGTGGTGGAGGCAGACTCCATACACAGCTTTAAGAAGAGGTATGATGAAGCTCACGGAGCAGGGAGTGAGTAACCTAGTAGCGACCAATGAACAGGCGGGGCCGGGAGCTATGAATCGATGTCTGCAACTACAATTAGGTGAGTACAATTAGATGAGGTGAGTACAGGAACATGGGGACACAACTGGAAGTTAAAAACTCAGATGAGTCATAAGGATGTTAGGAAGTATTTCTTCAGCCTTAGAGTTGTCAGAAAGTCTGGAGAATGATGTAGTGGAGGCAGGATATGTACATACATAGCTTTAAAAAGAGGTAAGATAAGAATATTTGAGTGGGGAGAGAGTTGCGATTAGCAAAGAGGCGAAGCCAGGAACTGTGAATCGACCCCTGCAACCACAAATAGATGAGTACAAATAGCTGAGTACACACAGGAGTTAAGATTCGACCCCTGGAAACATACCTTGGCGAGGAGGTAAGGAAAGAAAGAAGAAACAAAGGTTAGAACATAATTTAAACAATAAAGAAGAATCAGATCAGCTGTGCGATCCTTCAACAAAAATATTGAATTGAAACTAAACAGCTACTAGACACCTGCAAAACTACAAATGTGTTATCAGTGTTCAAGAAGGAAAATAAAGATTGGCAGATAAAGAAAGGGACTTTGCAGATAACTAAACCTGTGTTTTAAAGAGATATTACCCAAGGAAGCGGGTCTGCAAGACAGCAAGAGAGAAACGGGAGACTAGCGGAAACTGGATAACGTCACAGTAAAAAGATATAGAGTAAAAAAAAAGGTCAAGTGAGCTGAACACGTCAAAATTAACGATCTTTGATACCTTCCAGGTCCTGACAGAGGGAGTAGAGGCACTGTGTGATCCACTAGCAAAGATCTACAAGTCACTACATACAAGGTAACTTCCAGAAAGCTACAAAGCATCAAATAACGTCAGTAGTGAAGCAAGGGGAGAGGCAGGCAGTACCAAACTATAGAACAGTGATGTAAATAACAGTAAGAAGACCAACGGAACACCCACAGACTCATCAAGTATATAATAACACTCACATCAGGTTGAGACAAAGTGAATTATATTTTAAATAACAAAAAAGGCACAATACCGTGACTGGAACGATACACAAATAACCCGCACATAAAAGAGAGAAGCTTACGACGACGTTTCGGTCCGACTTGGACCATTGACAAAGTCACACTGTGTGACTTTGTCAATGGTCCAAGTCGGACCGAAACGTCGTCGTAAGCTTCTCTCTTTTATGTGCGGGTTATTTGTGAATTATATTTTATAAGCTTACAACACAACTCTGACAAGATAACACATTAAAACACGAGAGGAATTAATGACTCAAGTGCACTGAATATTTGACGATGTTTACATAATAAAGAATATACTTAAAATGAATCATTCTCTCTCTCTCTCTCTCTCTCTCTCTCTCTCTCTCTCTCTCTCTCTCTCTCTCTCTCTCTCTCTCTCTCTCTCTCTCTTCTTTACTAATAATGGTTGAATTACCAACAAAAATGTTAAGTGAATAGACACAGACACAACTAATGTAACATTATATTGTGTTAAAATGTCATTCACTTACAAGTGTGTTATTAAGATAAGATTCTCTCACCTTGTTGTATGGTGACGGATGCTGGGGCATTCCTGGGCATCTCCAGGTGGAAGGGAAAGGCATTGATGCCCAACTTCTTCTGTAGTCGTTCCTGTTGAGCACACAATATCCATGATGCAGGCAACATAATACTATGTAATGCAGGCAGCACAATACATCATGATGCAGGCAACATAATACTATGTAATGCAGGCAGCACAATACATCATGATGCAGGCAACATAATACTATGTAATGCAGGCAGCACAATACATCATGATGCAGGCAACATAATACTATGTAATGCAGGCAGCACAATACATCATGATGCAGGCAACATAATACTATGTAATGCAGGCAGCACAATACATCATGATGCAGGCAACATAATACTATGTAATGCAGGCAGCACAATACATCATGATGCAGGCAACATAATACTATGTAATGCAGGCAGCACAATACATCATGATGCAGGCAACACAGTACGTCATGTTACAGGTAATACAATACATCATGATGCAGGTAGGCTGGTAGGTGGTGTAGGGAGAGTGGTGACCCACCTGTAGGCTGGTAAGTGATGCAGATAGGCTGGTAGGTGGGTAGACCTGGGTAGAAGCTACCACCAGCTCCCTGGCGAAGGTAAGGCCCATTACTTCGTCTTCCTCTCGTCCATAACGGTAAGTCATCACCACCTGTGCGAACACCCGTCTATCCTTCACGTAACCGTCCTCCAGCCACACCATCCCGTCTGTCACAACATAAGAACACTGGAACCTCCAGCCACACCATACCGTCTGTCACAACATAAGAACACTGGAACCTCCAGCCACACCATCCCGTCTGTCACAACATAAGAACACTGGAACCTCCAGCCACACCATCGTCTGTCACAACATAAGAACACTGGAACCTCCAGCCACACCATCCCGTCTGTCACAACATAAGAACACTGGAACCTCCAGCCACACCATCCGTCTGTTCACAACATAAGAACACTGGAACCTCCAGCCACACCATCCGTCTGTCACAACATAAGAACACTGGAACCTCCAGCCACACCATCCCGTCTGTCACAACATAAGAACACTGGAACCTCCAGCCACACCATCTCGTCTGTCACAACATAAGAACACTGGAACCTCCAGCCACACCATACCGTCTGTCACAACATAAGAACACTGGAACCTCCAGCCACACCATCCCGTCTGTCACAACATAAGAACACTGGAACCTCCAGCCACACCATCCGTCTGTCACAACATAAGAAACACTGGAACCTCCAGCCACACCATCTCGTCTGTCACAACATAAGAACACTGGAACCTCCAGCCACACCATACCGTCTGTCACAACATAAGAACACTGGAACCTCCAGCCACACCATCTCGTCTGTCACAACATAAGAACACTGGAACCTCCAGCCACACCAAACCGTCTGTCACAACATAAGAACACTGGAAACTCCAGCCACACCATACCGTCTGTCACAACATAAAAACACTGGAACCTCCAGCCACACCATCCCGTCTGTCACAACATAAGAACACTGGAACCTCCAGCCACACCATCCCGTCTGTCACAACATAAGAACACTGGAACCTCCAGCCACACCATCCCGTCTGTCATAACATAAGAACACTGGAACCTCCAGCCACACCATACCGTCTGTCACAACATAAGAACACTGGAACCTCCAGCCACACCATACCGTCTGTCACAACATAAGAACACTGGAACCTCCAGCCACACCATACCGTCTGTCACAACATAAGAACAACTGGAACCTCAGCTACACCATCCGTCTGTCACAACATAAGAACACTGGAACTTCCAGCCACACCATCCCGTCTGTCACAACATAAGAACACTGGAACCTCCAGCCACACTATACTGTCTGTCACAACATAAGAACACTGGAACCTCCAGCCACACATCCCGTCTGTCACAATATAAGAACACTGGAACCTCCAGCCACACCATCCCGTCTGTCACAACATAAGAACACTGGAAATTGTAGCCACCATCCCGTCTGCAAAACATAAGAACAGGGAACCTCCACCCCCCATCCCGTCGTCAAAACATAAGAACAGGAACCTCCACCACACCATCCCGCTTCACAACAAAAGAACACGGGAACCCCCAACCCACCATCCCTCTGTCCAATATAAACACTTGAACTTCCACCACACATCCAGTCTGTACAATTAAGAACACGGGAAACCCCCAGCCAAAACCATCCCTCTGTCCAAATATAAAACATTAATTTCCCGCCCACACCGTCTTCACATATAAAAACACGGGAACCCCAGCCACCCATCCCGCTGTCCTTTTAAAGAAACCTTGAGCTTACGCCACACTACCCAATTCACAACATAAGAACACGGAACATCGCCACACCACCCCGTCTGTCAAAAATATAAGAACATTTAACTTCCACCACACATCCATCTGTCCAATATAAAAATTTCTAACCTTCACCCACACCACCAGTTGCCCAACAATATAAAACAAGGGTATTATACCCACCCCAACCCAATCCCACCACAGGGGGTCATCAGGGTGACTCCCACTTAGTCCCCCATAAAGAAACTTTACTTCCCGTAGGGGTCACATAGACTTAAAGTAAGCCCCAATGCATATATACTAAAACACTGTATATCTTTACGTGCAATCGCTATGTACACAGAAGATAGTAAGTGTAGTCCCTTCCCTATCGGGGGCTCCGGGTCCCAATAACAGGCTTCACCACGATATAATAGACATTTCACCATGAAAAACGTGTTTCACCACTGATGATCAAAAGACACAGGTACCATGAAACATACTTCACCTTTGATGATCAACAACCCAGGTCATCATGAAAACAGTGTTTCACCACTGATGATCTATAGACTCAGGTCACCAGATAACAGTGCTTCCCCCTGATGATCATCAGACTACGGGGTAAACCATGTAACATGCTTCACCCTGATGATCAACAGACTACAGGTCACCAAGAAACGTGCTTCCCCACGATGATCATACAGACTCCGGTCCCCAGATAACGGGTTTTCACCACTGATCATACAGACCCGGGTCCCCTGATAACAGTGTCACCACTGAGATCTATAACTAAGGTCCCCAAAGATAACGTGCTTCACCACTGATTCCACGACTCCCGGCACCAAGATAACAGTGCTTCACCCTGTGACATACAGACTCCGGTCCCATGAAAAAACATGCTTCCCCACTGACGACCTACGACCCGGGTCACCATGAAACATGCTTCCCACTGTGACTGCAGATCAGTCCCAAAGAAAACAGTGCTCCCCACTGAATCATCAGACTAAGGTCCCAAGATAACAGGCTTCACCATGATGATATACAACTACGGGCCCCAAAAAGAAACATGTTCACCACTGCGACCATCAGACTAGGTCACCATGATAACGGGTTTTTCCCCACTGATGATCATCAGCCCCAATCACCATATAAAGGCTTCACCACTGATGATCATAAGCCCAGGTCACCATGATAAAGTGCTCACCACTGATTCTACAGCAAAAGGGTCCCCCTGTAACATGCTTCACCATGATGATCATACAACACGGTCACCAAGAAAACAGTGCTTCCCCTTTGCGATCATCAGACTCCGGGCCCATGAAAACAGTTTTTTCACCATGATACATACAGCTACAGGTCCCATGAAAACTGCTTCACCAGTGTTCAGCAGCTACGGGTCACCAATATAACATGTTTCCCCACGAGACTACGCTCCAAGTCCCCATGAAAACAGGTTCCCATGATGAAAACAGACTACAGGTCCCTGATAACAGTGCTCACCATGATGATTAAAGAGACTACGGGTCCCCAAAGATAACAGGCTTCCACCACTGATGACACACAACAAAAGGCCCATGATAATGTGCTTCCCACTGATGATCATACAGACTACACCCCAAAGATAACAGGTTTCCCCATTGACGATCATAAGATCCAGGTCACCATGATAATAGTTTTTTCACCCGATGATCAAAAAAGGACTAAGGTACCAGATAACGTGCTTCACCCTGAGATTGTAACCGGGTCCCAAGATAACATGTTCACCTTTTGACGATCATACAGACCCCGGGTCACCATGATAAAGGTTTCACCATGTGATAAACAGACAAAAGGTCACCATGAAAAATGTGTTTTCAAAAGAGATATGAAACCTACGGGTCAAAATAACAGTGTTTCACCCTGATGACATACAGACCCCAAGCACCATGTACAGTGCTTCACCATTATCATCAGACTACAGGTCCCCAAAGATAACATGTTTCACCCTGATGATCAACGCTCCGGCACCTGAAACAGTGCTTCACCATGATGATCATACAAAAAATACGTCCCATGAAAACGTGCCCCATGATGAATACAAAACCCCAGGTCACCAGAAACATGCTTCCCCATGAGATCTACGAAACAGGTCCATGTAAAGTCTTCACCAGTATCTCATAAGATTTCGGTCCCTGAAACAGTGCTTCCCCATGATGTCAACAGACTCAGGTCCAAGATAAAAGTTCACCATGATGATCTACAGACTACAGGCCCCAAGATAAAAATGTTTTCACCACTGTTTACAACGCCCCAATCCCATGAAAACAGTGCTTCCCATTGATGTCATACAGACTACGGTCCCATGAAAAACAGTGCTTCACCACTGCGACATACAGACACAGGTCACCAAATAACAGTGTTCCCCATTGTGATAAACAGATACAGGTCCCCATGAAACGGCTTCACCATGTGATCTACAGCTAAGGTCCCATGATAACAGTGCTTCCCCAGACCATACAGACTACAGGTCCCCATGAAAATGCTTCCCCTTTGATGATCAACAGCCCAAAGGTCACCATAAAACAGTTTCAGCCTGATGACTACAATAAAGGTCCCATATAACAGTGCTTCACCATTGAGGTCAACAGACTCCGGGTCCCCATATCCAGTGCTTCAATGAGATCTACAGACTCCGGGCCCCAAATGATAACAGTGTTTCCCCACTGATGATCTACAGCTATAGTCACCATGAAAACTTGCTTCCCCACTGATGACATAAGATAAGGCACCCAAGATAACATGTTTCACCAGTGATTCAGACCCAGGTCCCATGAAACATGTTCACAGTGATGATCTAAGACTACAGTCATCATATAACAGGCTTCACAGTGAACATCAGACTCCAGGCCCCATGAAAAACGTGCACCCCACTGTACATACAGACTAAGGTCACCAAAATAACATGCTTCAACTGAGCAACAGACTATGGCCCCCATTTAAACAGGTTTTCAAGTGATCATACAACTTTGGGTCACCAGATAAAAGGCTCCCCTGAGTAACGACTGCAGGACCAAAAACAGTGCCCCCAACGATGTCAACCTTGGGAAAAGATACGGGCTTCCCCCAACTGAGATATAAGACTCCGGTCACCAAAAAAACGGGCTTCACCCTGTGTCATAAGTTTAAGGTTAATTAACATGTTTATGTTTTTTTTTAAACTATATGTCCCCTGAAGCAGTGCTTCACCACGTGTCTACAACTGTAGGCACCATGATAACATGCTTCACCACTGAGATCATACAACTGCGGGTCACCATGAAACATGCTTCACCCTGAGTCAACGACTGCGGTCACCATAAAAACAGTGTTTTCACCACGAATACAGACAAACAGGTCACCATAACATGCCTCACCAGTATCATACAGATACAGGTCACCAAACTGCTTCCCATGATCAACAGACTGCA